GAAAGAAAATATTCAAATTAGGTAAAGATCTCATTTAATTTGATTTTCAAGTATATTGCTTCTTTGTTTGAAATATTACAATTTTGTGTGAATCTTTGAGTGATATTATCGTATCCATTACGTCCCCGAATATCCTTTTAAATTAGGAATTATTTCCTAATTTCACAACGTGCATATGATCGACAGTCCGATTTCATGCCCGAAATATGACTCGCGATCGCACGAAAAATCGTCAATCCGATCTCCCGCCCGAGATATGATTCGCGTTTGTGTGAAAAATTGGTCAATCCGATCCTCATGCCCGGGATACGATTCGTCAATCTATTGTTTCTAAATTTAAACGGATATCGGTAATATTTCTTGTGCGAGATGGTGTCGTGTTGATTCGATTTCTATCTTTGTTTGATTTGAATTGATCTTGTTTTTCTCAAAAAAAAAAAAATCCCAAAAAGAATGAGTTGCTTTAGGATAGAATAGGATAGATTGCATTCTTAATTTGAGTAATTTTTAATTTCGAATTTTAATACCAAAAGAAGACACTTTAGGATAGATTAAATTATTATTTTTTTAGAATAGGTTGCATGTTAATTTAGGCATTTTTTTATTCCGAATTTCATTGAAAAAAATACCAAAAAATAAATTATTTGTCCGTCATTAGAATTAGGTCACGTCGTCGCATGACATATAGTTTGCATGCTAGGTTGCATTAATCGCATGTCATTTTTGCACGTCATTGCATATAGGTTAGTTTGCATTTTAATAAAGCGCAAACCCTAATGAACATCTTGAGTGCCTTGCTTTGTTAATTAGAAATCATATTAGGATTGTCTGTGTGATTTTTTACTAACAATGCAGATGCTTGCGTGGCTTTAAGGTATGTTATCCTGCTATTTATTTACTGCTTTCTTGGGTGTTACTTTGGTGGTTTGCGCACCCGCATGATCACCTCACATGCTAGTGACTGAGTTAAAATGAATCCAAACTGTCTGCCAAAACATTTTTTGAAAAGAAAAGGTACCGAAAGGGCGTTAGACTAGATTTAGCGTAACCAAGTCCCCGAGCTTAGAATCTCTGGTTCGTAGGAATAAAACATATCTCCCTATGTTTTATTTAGGTTTCTAATCGACCTACCATAAATAGATTAGTGGTGACTCCAAGTACGAAAACTTTTGCATGTTAAAAACTTAAACCCTAAGTTGCGAATTGGTAGGGCTTGGGAGGGCCCGAGTTAGGCTTAGTCTTAATAATCCATTAGCCTGAGAGAAATTTTAGGTCGCGACAGCTTGGCGACTCCGCTGGGGACTTGAGTTAAAACTCTTAGTGGACTTAGGCCGAATTTTCTCTTTTTGAAAAAATATTTTTGTTTGGCAGCGAGGATTCCAGGTACGTTCCTAACGTTTAAGGTGTTAAATGTTTTTGCAGAATAGGAGTTATAAGGGGTGGAGTGTTTGTTAACCATTTTCTTGCAGGGAGGTGTTGAGATTGGATGTTTTAATTTTGATATTTGAAGCGCTGTTTGTATATGATCTGTTGTGCATGCCCGTGCATTTTCACTACACTCTAGCACACACAACCCGTCGCCGGACCCGGGCCGCATAGGATCACCTAGGATGGTATTGAGATGGATACCACTCCGACCGTCTGCCCGCGGTACGAGTTGCCCATCTCAATCCCGATATTTCTTTCTTGATGTCAAAGAGATTACCACCCCGGTCCGCATGCCCGCGACATGGGTCGGCTCTTTGACGATGCCGGAGTTACGAGGACCCGACTTAGTCCGCATGCCCGCGGCTAGTCCGGATCATCCCCGTGGCTCCACTTTGTTAAGCTTTCTAGAGTAGAAATCGAGCCACGTAGCATGCGTATGTCTATGTGATTGCCATCCGGTTATTGGTAAAGTAAGTCCTTTGAGCTTTTTCTTCGCAATTTATTTACTTTATCGTATTGTTTTGTCGGTCCATGACATTAGGTTGATCGCAAGTCTAGGTCAATATACAATGGGAAATTCCGACATTCGACTTATTCTTCCTCCCAAGAAGGAACTCAACGCGTGGTGGGACAAGCTAGACCGAGCTGGTCGTGAGTTCGTGGAATTAACAATTGGCCGACTCCTCCCTCTGTTGCGTATCAACATTCATGGCGGCCTCATTCAAGCACTTGCCCATTGTTGGTGTCCAGAGACGACTACTTTCATCTTCGGTAATTACGGACCGATCACGATCGCCTATTCGTACACGGTCAAGAACTAGAATGGCCGATCAAACTGACTTACGAGATCGTGTCGTTGGCATTGAGGACCAAATGAAGCAAGTCCTCACCGCAATGCAATGGATGTCTGCCGAGATTAAAGCCTTTCGATCGACTCCCATTCCCGCATCCCCCGAGGCATCGGCCCCAAAGCGCGAAAGGTGGAAAGAATGCCGATAGTGAGGAAGATGACGATCTTCCCGATTTAGTAGATGGCCCCGTCCATTATCGTCAATAAGGACAAACCTAATGAACGGGTCAACAAGCTTGAAGAGAGAGTGAAGCAACTGGAAGGCTCACATGATTCACCCTCAATTGACTTATCTCTTTACTCACAGATCAAAATCCCGAAGAAGTTCAAGATGCCAGATTTTGACAAGTACAATGGCACCTCCTGCCCAAAGGCCCACCTGCAGCTATATCACGTACAAATGACCCCGTATGTTGATAATGAACTCCTCGATGATTCATGCATTTCAAGCAAGTCTCGACGGGTCCCGCCTTGAATTGGTATCTCATGAAGAAGATAAATGGCTTCAAAACCTGGAAGGAAGTTAGTGAAGCATTTCTAAAGCAAGACAGTTCATAACGGACATTATTCCCACCCGCGATGACCTCGAGCGTGCTCGGATGAAAAGACTCGAGTCGTTCAAAGATTATGCTATCGATGGAGAAATATAGCCGCTCGGGTTGTCCCGGAACCTATAGACAAGTGAATTGAAGAGAATGTTCATTAAAACTCTCCCGTTCGAGTACCGTAATCGGATGGTAGCCACTCCAGCTGACAACTTCAATCAACTCATCCCCATAGGCGTACAGATTGAGATAGGGCTGAAAGATGGGTGGTTTGTGGAGCCATCTTCCTCGACCAAAAGATTTGGTGCAAGGAAGGAGAAGGAACCGGCACTTGAAGTGAATGCGACTTATACCCAAACGGGCCGACGGAATGCTAACCTTGTCCCAGCAATCCAAGTAGCAGAAACTCAACAACATAGCATGGGTCGTCAACCCTCTCAGAGGAGGAACAACAAGAGGCAATTCACCCCCCTCCCCGGGTCGTTGTCTCAAGTGCTGGTGGTCCTCCGGAAGAAAGGTTTGGTTACCACTGAGCCAAAGCGGCCCAACCCCGAGCAGTTCTATAACTACGATCCGTCCAAGAAATGTGATTATCATATGGGTGAAGTGGGGCATTCAACTAATGACTGTATCACTCTCAAGCATCGGATCCAGAACTTGCTTGACACAAAGGCATTTTCCTTTTAACCCGCTAAGCCGAATGTTCAGAGCAACCCGCTCCCTGATCATGCGGGCAATGTGAATGCCATATTTAGTTTTGATGCTAGTCGAATCAAGAATGTCAAGGTGTACATCGCCGACGTCTACGGTGAGTTGGTGAAAGCCGGTTATTACCCGAGTAATGAGGTCCTTCCCCTGGCTATCATGAAGAAAAGAATCTCTGAAATGGTAGAAGCCGGAACGATTGTCTATGCCAATCACACTGGCATCGTCTCCATAATCTCCGAAGTGGTTATTAATTGGGACGAGGAGTTTGCTACATTGAACACCGGGAAGGACAAGCTCGACCCTCTGCCTGAAGACATGCCTCCGCTTGAAGACGCGTCTGGTGATGAAGAGATCGTAGTAAGCATGCCTACAACTGATGAAGGGATAGTGATCGAGATACCTCAACCGTATGAGTACAGTGATAATAAGGCAGTCCCTTGGTCTTACAATCTCGATGTCGACTTGGTTACCAGATCTGGGCGTACCTATGGCCAAGCTAATGCCCAACCTGCAAAACCTGTTACTGATGAAGAAGCCAAGGAGTTTCTAGCTGTGATTAAGGCTAGCGAATACAACATAGTTGAACAATTGCGCAAGATGCCCGCACAAATCTCTCTGCTTGAACTACTCCAGACATCTGTCAAGCATCAGAAGGCCTTAATGAAGGTGTTAAGCGAAGTCCACATGCCAGAGACGATCGATCATGACAAATTGGAGGAATTTGTAGGTTCTATACTCCTCAAGGACCTCATAGCCTTTTCGGATGAAGAGTTCCTCCGGAAGGGAGGGGGCATACCAAGGCACTTTACATTTCTGCCAAATACAAGGCCTCGCATGTAGCCCGGTACTCATTGACAACGGATCAGCCTTGAACATTTGTCCTTTGGCGACTTTACACCGCCTCAAGATAGATCCTTCTAGGATAAATTCTGCGAAGACCTCCGTGCGAGCCTTTGACGGAACAAAGAAAGAAGTGATGGGAGAGATCCACCTTGATATACAAATAGGACCAACAATGTTCAACATCCTATTTCAAGTTATGGACATTCCCACTGCATTCAATTTTCTGCTGGGTCGTCCATGGATTCATACTGCCGGAGCTGTGCCATCCAGTTTACATCAGAAGGTGAAGTTCGTTGTGGAGAGAAAGTTAGTCACAGTCCACGGTGAAGAAGAGCATCCAATATACCACGCAACGGCTATCCCCTATGTTGAGCCGGATTGCAAAATAGAATCGAGCTATCAGTCGCTCGAGCTCGTATCAACCATACATGCGTCTAGAGGATCATCACCGCCCATACCTGAGGTGTCAAATGCTGCAGTCATGGTTGGCAGAGTAATGGTGTCCCATGGCTTTACTCCAGGTGAAGGCCTTGGTAGGAATGGTCAAGGTATCCGCCAACCGGTGAAAGTCTCTCGGAGGCCCCACACTACTGGGTTGGGGTACCAGGGGTCAAGCGAGCCAAATAATGGGGGATGTGGACGTGGACGTGGTCAAGGTCGAGGTCGAGGAGATGGGCAGAATAGACAGCGGTCCGAAGAAGAGCCGAATGGTGAAGAACGTGGGCGTGGAATTACCCAAAATAACGGAGAGCTTGGGCGTGGTAGGTTGCTTCCACACATCCGCGCCACATTCCCAGGCCCTGCAAGAATGATGCATGAAGAGAATGAGGTGATCGACACTTTGGGGCAACCGAGCGGCAAGTTCGATTATTATGTGAAATACTCGGCGCCCCCGAGCTTCTATGTTGACCCCTGTGACATAGTCCCGGATGGATGGGGAGGTATGGATGATCCAACACCTCTAATGACAGAAGATCCTGATGATTCAATGGATGGAATCACTGCCTTGTTCGATGATTTCTTCATTGGAGCTATCGAGGAAGGACCATTGGAGAGAATGGGCACTGGCCCGCAAGAGTAACACCTTTACTTTTTTCGCACACTCCCCTGCGTGGGAATTTTTACTGCTTTTTAGGACTTGCCCCGTCTCAGGAGCTGCTTTTCAGGACTTTTCAATAAATGTAATTCATCTGATGATAATCAATGAAATTACAAGTTATTTTCATTTGTGAGGGCATGTTGAGGTACATCAAACCAGCCTGGTGATGATATCCAACCGATAAAAAAATATAGTCCAAGGAGAATTCTGAGGCCTGGGCTTCTTCATGCTTCCTCGTGTTAAAACTTTTTTGAAAAGAATTTCGAAAACAAGTCACAAAAAAAAATCAAAAGAAATAAAAAATACACTGTTTAGCCCTGTTTGTCCTTCTGAACCCCCTACTTTATGTTTCGGGGGCAATCTTGTGACACGTGAGGGTATGGAAACGGTCCAATCTGATGAATTATGTGCCACCGAGCCTAATCTCGATGACACCAATGAACTCGAAGATTCCTCGGACCTTCAGCGCGATCTAGAGCATCATGAAAGACCTAAAGTCCTAACGGTAGACCAAACTATCACTGTCAACTTGAGTGATTCCAGAGAACCCAAAGAGGTGAAGATAGGGGCAACCCTTCCCGAAGGTGAAGCGAAACGCTTGGTCCAACTGCTGAAGGATTACCAGGATATCTTTGCCTGGTCGTATACCGATATGCCAGGTTTAGACCCTTCTATTGTGGAGCATAGTCTACCTACTAATCCGGACATGCCGCCCAAGAAACAGAAGCTGCGAAGAACCAAACCTGAACTTTCGAAGAAGATAGAGGAGGAGGTCATGAAACTTTTGAAAGTAGGGTTTATTGAAGTCACCCGATACCCCAGTTGGGTGGCCAACATCGTGCCAGTCATGAAGAAAGATGGCCGAGTTCGGGTTTGCATCGACTATCGTGATCTAAACAAGGCCAGCCCTAAAGACGATTTCCCATTGCCACATATAGATGTTTTGGTGGACAGTACTGCTAGGTTCGAGCTGTTTTCCTTCATGGATAGTTTCTCGGGTTATAATCAGATAAAAATGAAGGACGATGATAAGGAGAAAACAGCGTTCATCACTCCATGGGGAACATTCCACTATAAGGTCATGCCCTTCGGCCTTAAAAATGCCGGGGCAACATACCAACGGGCAATGGTGACGCTTTTCCATGATATGATGCATAAGGAAATCGAGGTCTATGTCGATGACATGATCGCCAAGTCTCAGTCTGGGAAGAGTCACGTCGATACCTTGAAGAAATTATTCGAGAGATTTCGTGAGTTTAAGCTTCGTCTCAACCCAACGAAGTGCATGTTTGGAGCAACCTCGGGCAAATTACTCGGGTTCATAGTAAGCAGTAAGGGTATTGAAGTTGACCCCTCCAAAGTGAAGGCTATATGTGAGTTACAACCTCCATCGACCGTGAAAGAAGTGCGAAGCCTCCTGGGTAGATTGAACTACATAGCCCGTTTTATTTCTCAACTCTCTGAAACTGCTAAGCCATTCTTCAAACTTCTAAGGAAGAATGCTCAAGTGGAATGGGACGATGATTGTCGGGAAGCGTTTAACGAACTAAAGCAGTACCTGATGAAACCACCAGTGCTAGTCCCACCAATGTCGGGCCAGCCTTTGATCCTTTACCTCACGATTCATAGCGAGTCTCCAGGTGCGATGTTAGCCCAGAAAAATCCTGAAGATGGAAAAGAGCGAGCCATTTATTACCTAAGTAAGAAGTTCACCGTTTCGGAGTTGAATTATCCCGAAGCCGAGAAGACTTGCGTTGCACTAGTATGGGTGCTCCATAGGTCGCGACAATATACACCGCATCATCGACTTTGCTTGTGATCGAGAGAACGATCCCATCAAGTATTTACTTGATCAACCGGCTTTGGTAGGGAAGTTAGCCAAATGGCAGATTTTAATTTCGAGTTTGATGTCCGGACAATGCCACGTAAGTCGGTTAAAGGCCGAGTAATTGCTGATGTATTAGCCGAAAATCCCGGAATCCCGATGATGATAGATATTCTCCGTAAGATCGCATTCTCGGTAATAAAAGAAGACGCATGGACCATGTTTTTCGATGGAGTCGTAAACTTGGTTGGTTCCAAGACTCTGGGGCGCTTTAATATCCCCAGATGGGCAACATTATCCAGTAGCAGCAAAGTTGGTATTCCCCTGTACCAACAACATAGCCGAGTACGAAGCTTGCATCCTCGGACTCCAAGCCGCAGTGGAAATGGGGATAACCAAGTTGAAAGTGTTTGGTGATTCCGCTCTAATTATTCTTCAAACTGTAGGAGAATGGAAGACGAGAGACACCAAACTAGTGCCGTACCATGAATACCTTGAAGAAATTATAGAGGAATTCGAGGATATCTCTTTTGAGTACTTGTCGAGGTCCCATAATCAGGTTCACGACGCACTAGCTACATTATCATCCATGCCGCAAGTGATCGGTGGATTAAAGGTAGAACCCTTGAAGATCGAAGTCCCGACAAAACCGGCCTACTGTATGATTGTGACCGAAGAACCTGACAAAAAGCCATGGTATTACGATATCATGAGTTATATCCAGAGACAAGAATTTCCTGAGGGAAGCACCCCTGCCGATAGGAAGTACATAATGAAAATGGCTTCAAAATTCTTTGTCAGTGGTGAAAAGCTATACAAAAGATCCTACAATTCGATCCTGCTGAGGTGTGTGGATGCGTGAAGCTACCGTAATCATGCAAGAAATACACGAGGGGATATGTGGTCCACACATGAATGGCCACATGCTAGCTAAGAAGATCATGAGGTTGGGTTATTATTGGCTCGGTCTTGAAAGTGACTGTATCCAACATGTTCAAGATGTCATATTGTCGGGTTCATGGGGATAAAATAAATGTTCTCCCGACGTAACTACATCGCTTGTCCGAGCCATTGCCCTTTTCAATGTGGGGCATTGATGTGATTGGCCCAATTAATCCCAAGGCATCAAATGGACACCGATTTATCTTGGTCGCGATTGATTATTTCTCCAAGTGGATTGAGGCAGCATCTTATGTGAACGTCACTGCAAGGAATGTTGTAAGATTCATCAAGCGAGACATAGTCGCTCGTTATGGTGTCCCCGAGGCTATTGTCACCGACAATGGGACAAATTTGAACAACAAGTTCATAGATCAATTGTTCAATGAGTTCAAGATCCGGCACTTGAATTCATCTCCTTATCGTCCACAGATGAATGGAGCGGTTGAAGCCGCTAACAAGAACATCAAGAAGATCCTAGCCAAAACGGCTGAAAGCTATCGTGACTGGCATGAAAGGTTGCCATTTGCACTAATGGCGTATCGGACTTCCATCCGAACCTCTGTCGGGGCAACCCCTTTTTCCTTAGTATATGGTATGGAAGCAGTCCTGCCCGTCGAAGTAGAGATCCCTTCCCTGCGAGTCTTGTCTCAGGTGGAGTTGTCTGAGGCAGAATGGATGCAACAAAGGCATGAACAGTTGAACCTGATTGATGAGAAACGATTGAAAGCCATTTGCCATGGTCAAACCTATCAGCAGAGGATAGCTAGATCCTTCAACCAAAAGGTGCGTCGAAGACACTTCGAGGTAAATGATCTAGTCCTAAGGAAGGTACTACCAGCTTTTTCCTGTTCTGGGGTAAATTTGCCCCAAACTACATTGGTCCATATGTGGTTAAAAGGTGCTTCCGGAGGTGCCCCGATTCTCGCAGAAATGGATGGTCGTGAGTTCTCCACTCCTGTTAATTCTGATGCTGTGAAGATGTATTACCCTTGATAAAATCTAACATTTTGCAGCAAAAGTTTGCAAGTGTTTGGTTTTATATTCTAAATTGCAAACATTTCACTGATGAATAAATGGTTTCAATCAATTTCAATTTAAGATGTGTGCATTGGCTTTAAATTCTGCATGGTTATTTTGGTCTACATCATCTATTTCAAAAGGGGAATCTATTTGGACAATCTGATAACTCATGTTGAATGAATTGAATGTGTTGAATGAGGTACATTGGGATGATGAAAGGCAAGCCCTATCCTATACACAGTCCCATGCACTAATCCCCAATGAGTTGAGTGGAAAAATTCCATATCTGCAAGGTAAAGGGTTATCTCGCAAAAGGTACGGCAACCGAAGTGAAGAAAGGCGGTTCCATTCTCTATCCCAAACACTACAGGTTATCCATTGTTTTGCCACTTTGAGCCTAAACACTTGGAGAAATTCTTTCAAATTACCCCTGTTAAGAACCACCCCACATCGGGGCAAACTGGAGGTAAGTCAGCATTATAAGGTGAAAAATGAATAGAGATTGTCTTGCTCTCACTTACATCAATCTTCGAGTGTTGCTTTTTCAGATGAATTCACACGAATTTCAAGTGCCTTAGGATGATGAAGAGCGGTTCTTTCTCTATCCTACACACTTTATCCATTGCTTAGCCCACTTGAGCCTGCAATTTCATTTCATAAAAACCCAGTTGGTGATCATCCCCCACACTGGGGCAAGGCAATTACCCCTGGAAGTCTAATGTTGAATCATTCAGTCAGAGTATAGTTGGCCAACATATGCATTGTAAACAGCGTATGTCAAGTGTAAAAAAAAAAAAAAAAAGAGTGCAGTGGGCAAGAAAGAGCAGTGTGCCTGGTAAAAGTAAGGCCAATGCCCAAAGATGAAAGATAAGTGTATCAAAATCATCCCCAGTGGGATAGTCATAGTCCTGCAAATTTAAAGAAGTGGTGAATTCAAGCCCAATGAAGCATTCGCTGAAAAGACAACTCCCAAGAATGAACAAGAAGACCGGTGACAATGCCAAGATGATCACCAACTTATTCACCCCAATTATACACATTTTGAGCCTAATGATCCATTCATTTCTCAACTCATGAGCCTAGACTATGTTACGTCCCTTGCAAAGTCTCTTCAGATTAGGGCACTTGAACTAATGTAGGATTCAGATGTTTATAAGCTTAGCTCGAAGAAGTGCGAGCAAGTCCATTTCTATCTCATTTTGCAGGTTCTTGACTTGTAAACCCGGAGACGATTGCGAAGTATTTTCTTTCAATAGCCTCGACTCGAAGAGTCCCCTTTTGCTAAGCCATTGACCAAGCCCACGTTACGGTCCTAACAAAGACCTCTCGGATTGGTAAGGTCGTACCTCTTGCGAGAATACTCGGACCCTTGTTGACATGATGATGGTGAGATGGAGCAATTCTCATAAATCAGCCTTTTTCAATAAGAGCAAGTGAAAGCCTTTTCAGACTGGAGGTCCCTCATTTGACATTTTCAAGACATCCACTTGTGAATCCGAATTGTCTTGTCATGATTCTCCCCAGTGAAATTTTGTAATGCTGATTTGACAAAATTGTCATGCATGAGAACCGGTTGAATTCATAGTGCATGAGTATATGTGTTCTTGATTGCCCATGAATACATGTTACATGTCGCCTAAAATCGTGTCTAGCAGGAGACACGCCCTCAAGAGTTAGAGATATCACCAGGTAAGTATATCTCTATACCTTGGATGCCTGTGACTATCCAGGTATCCCTAACCTGTTCGAGCAATCGTCAGGCCCCATATTTGATCATTTTGTTGCGATCTCTAGATGCCTCTGACGATATCCAAGCATCTATTGATCAAGCCTTTTCAGGTACCTCTGATGATATCCAGGTACTTTGTCAAGGAATCTTCGAGCATTCGGGCTAGCCCCTCTGTTCGCCAAATCGTTAAATACCTTTGACGATATCCAGGTATTTATCGATCAAGTCCTTTTAAATATCTCAGATGATAACTAGATATTTCGTGAGGCACACCTTTCAAACAATTTGGTAAGTTCCTTCTTGAACACCTCAGACGATATCCAGGTGTTTAGCAGTTGACTTTTTCCGATTACCTCTGACGATATCCAGGTATTTCGTTAAAAGTAGGAATGTATTCCAATTTGTTGAATCGCTTTTCAGGTACCTCAGATGATAATTAGGCACCTTGTTAAGCCCCCTTTCTAGCAAATTGGAGAAAGCCCCGCATTAGGCACCTCTGATGATATACAGGTTCCTAATGAATAATTTTCTCGAGTACCTCTGATGATATCCGGGTATTTCGACAAAAGGTGGGATAAATTCCGTTTCGCTAGGTTATCACTGGATGCCTCTGACGATATCCAGGCATTCAGCGGAAGGTCCGTTTCGAGTATCTCAGACGATATCCAGATATTCGAAGTAGTCTTCCATTCTTTGATCTCTAGACTCCTCAGACAATATCCAGGTGTCTATTGATCACCATCTTCGATTACCCCAGACGATATCCAGGTAATTCGAACTACCCTTTGTGTGTCCTAATTGAATTACAGGTCACCGAAGTCCATTAGCGTTCATCAGGCAATACTTTTGGGACTGAGCCCAAACATTTGCCAAACAACCTGTAGGATCAGAGTCATGCCTCAAATTATGCTACCACTCTTGTCAGGTAAGTAACTTCAGGTATGTTTTATTCATGTTAACACGCATCATGATATACTGCATTTCAAAATGAGACTCATACTCCCACAAAAAATAACATTCATTGCATTTGCATAGACAAAATTTAGGTATCATCTAGTCTTTGAATGCAACCTCTTCGAGCTCACATTTAAAGAGGGGCAGCTGTTGACACTTAAATTTTGACTAACCATTTAGTTATTAGTTGAATAGAAAATTAGGGATTAAATTTTAGTCCCTAACAAAAATATTAAAGTTAAATTACATAGCATTTTGTTTGAAGAACATTTATTAAGTAGTTGCATTTGCATCGGACTGGTGGCGGATGGGCTTAACAAAATTTAATTGAACTGGAGTTAATGGACTCAAGTACAGAGGTTCTTAACCCAATGGAATTAATTGGATCAAGCCCGTGTGAATTAAAGATTTGGCCCAACTCGTTATGCCCTCAAGTGGTCAAGATTGACATGTGCGTTGCGCGTACACATTGAATTAGGAAATATTGAGAAAATATCATGAAAATCTTTGGGCGCAAGATAACAATATTCACGTGAAAAAGTGGACAAAGCTAGAATTTGGACAGGATGGGGTGGAAATATTCGGTAAGGGACAAGGTTGCACGTGGTGATATATACTTGATCTTAATATATCTTCAATGAGGGCACGTGGATTTGCAAGGAAGAGGGAGGAGGATCAGTAGATTTGGTTTCCTTCGTGCAAAGGGGAAACAATATAAAGAAAATAACAAAAGAGGGAAAGAAGCATAGGGAATTTGGTCAGCATGGGGGCATATATTGGACAGTATTATGGAGGCCTTCACGTCTTTCGGTAGTGCGGACAGAAAGAAATTTGATCACGTGCAGGGAAGAATATATATTTGGCTATATTCTCTAGTCTCAAAGAAGGCAAGTACAGTGTATGCTAGGATCAGAAAAAGAAAATACGGGGAAGAAGCCAAAGCATAATATATCTCAAATATCCCAAGAGGTTCTCTTTCTCTGAAAACCCTTGGCCCTCTCACCTATAAAAAGGACCTCCTACAGGCAAGAATAAGGGGAGAGACTTGACATGCGAGGATCACCATTGAGAGAGAAAAAAATCGTGAGTAGTAAAGGGAGACAATTGAATACACGGTCATGATTCTGGGGAAAGCCGAGAGAAAAGAGAAGGCGTGAAGAAGAGAAAAGGAGTCTCTCGACCAAACCTTGGCCGAGATCCCCACACGGCCAGACCTG